ATCTCAGATGGTCTAGACCCTAGAACCATGGTTCTCAGACTTGAGCATGCACTGGAATACCAAGAGGGCTCTCAAAAACATGAATTACTGGATCCTACCTCAGAGTTTCTGATTCAGTAGGTCTGGGTGGGGCCTGAGAATCTGTACTTCTGTTAAGTTCCCAGATGATGTTGGTGGTCACAGAAATACTCACTGAGAAACTTGGGCCAGAACTAGAAATGGAAGCAGTGACAGATTTTATTAATATTTTCTTGGGGTCCAAAATCACTGTGGATGGTGAATGTACCCATGAAATTAAAAGATGACTGTTGCTTGGAAGGAAAGCTATGACAAACCTAGACAGCATATTAAAAAGCAGAGATATCACTTTGCCGACAAAGGTCTGTATACTCAAAAGTATAGTTTTCCCAATAGTCATGTACGGATGTGAGAGTTGGACTATGAAGAAGGCTGAGCACTGAAGAATTGATGCTTTTGAACTGTGGTATTGGAGAAGACTTTTGAGAGTCCCTTGGACTGCAAGGAGATCCAACCAGTCCATCCTAAAGGAGCTTGGTCCTGAATATTCACTGGAAGGACTTATGCTGAAGCTGAAGCTTCGACCACCTCATGCAAAGGTTTAACTAACTAATGCAAAGAGCCAATTCACTGGAAAAGACCCTAATGTTGGGAAAGATTGAAGGCAAAAGGAGAAAGGGGTGGCAGAGGATGACATGGTTACATAGCATCCCTGACTCAATGGAATTTGAGCAAACTCCAGGAGAAAGTGGAGGACAGAGGAGCCTGGTGCAGTCCATGGGGTCACAAAGAGTCAGACATATCTTAGCAACTGGACAACAACAGGCAGCCAGACCTGGGTTTGAATGAACCACCTGTATGAAGTGAAACACATGAATGAGTGTGCTTTGTTATGAAAATAGTGGGAAATTTGCCTCTCTCAGTTTTAGTGGTGATTGGAGAAGAAAAAAGGAAGAAAGAAGTCTCTGCTGAGATTTCCTAACCTTATGCATGCACTGACATGGGCTTAAAGACAAATAGCGAATGAAACAAAAAAGAAAACTTTAAACCAAATATGTAGTTTAAGGTATTCCTAAATTGGCAGTATCTTCAGGCATCGCAGAAAACAAAGTACAAATAAATAAGCTTTTATTTCAACTTCAAAAAATTCCCACAAGAAAATCCAATGAACATGTCAATAAAAAAGACAAAATAAACAAGGAAATAACCACAGGCATGAGTCTACAGAAAACATAAACTGTAGAATTTGACAGACGAGTGGAGATACTGAAATTTCAGATATAGATTATCTTAAAAGATACTTTCTGTGTTAACTAAATAAAGATTGACCAGGTATATTTAAAAATGAACCAAATAAAACTTATAAGAAGGAAAACCATAATAACTGAAATGAGAAACTCAGCAAACAGTTAAACACCAGATTAAAGAAAGTTGAATAGAAATTAGGAAGTTGGATAACAAACTTGGAAAACAAACCATCAAGGAGAGACAGTGACACAGGAAGAAAAATGCAATGTAGGTTAAAAGTCATGAAGGGCAAAGAAAGAATAGAAGGTAGTGGAGACACTAACATTTGGTGAGATAATAGGTGAAAAGTTTTCAGAACTAATGAAAGATGCCCATTTTCATGTCCAAGAAGCTCAGCAAATCATAAGAAGAATAAAGAGAAACCCACACTGAGGCACATCGCGGTGAAACTGAGGAACACTAAAGCTAAAGAATAAACTGTCAAGATAGCTGGAAAGAAAATACAAGTAACCTAAAAATATACAATAATTAGACTGAGAAATGAATTCTTAACAACTACAGAATTGATAGGACTGTGGGAAAATATCTCTAAAACATTGCAAGAAAATCACCATCAACCTTGAGTTTTTACCCAGCAAAATCACCTTAAAAAATGCAAATTAACATCTTTCAGACAGACAAACCCTGAGAGACTTTCACTAGACAATCTGCTTGTGAAAGATAGAGGAAAGAGTTGAGAAAATCATGTTTTATTGAAGGTGCTGAGTTTTTAGTATTGATATTCTCTCAATTAAACATTTTGTAAGAAATGAAACTGGCCTAAATTATTGGGAGTTGGAACTGATGGAATGGGTATTAACCAGGGTTTTCTTCAAATAATTATGCCTATGATGTGCTGGTTTATGGATAGCATTACCATTTATATCAGATGCCAATTAGTGGTTTGAAATCACTAATCATTTCATTATTGGCATTGCATTGCAGTGGGTCAAATCAAAATATACTATGGTCCATGATATTTCAATCAGAATAATGAAAATAAAACTCTATATCCCAAAGTCCACAGTATAAAATATGCAAATAATTTTCGAAAATGTTTGATTTTTAAAATTTGATGTTTAATACTTTAGTTAAATATTTAAAGTTAAATACTTAAATATTTATAATATTCAGTCACTCAAAGCTGTAAAGATGGCAACATTTCTTCCTTCAACAAAATGAGTTCTAATTTCCAGAAGAGGGAAAGGGAAAAAGATTTGAGACACTGTGCTGCTTCCAGAAAGAAAAAAAAAAAGATTCTGACATTAACAAACTGCATGGTCTTGGGCAAGATAAAGAACCATTTGCAGTCTATTTTAAAAACAGTTTTGTAGAGAGAGAAAACTTGACCATATGTGCTCAAGATTCTTCTTCTGGATCAAAATATAGCTATGATGGTTTTATACGCTAGAAAATCCAGGTGAATTTGTATTCTAACTCCACTCTGCCTGACCCTGTCTTTATACTACGGGGTGAGCCAAGGTGAGCAGTAGTACCTGTCAGGGCTGGAAACAGAGCAAAGGTAGGAGAGAAGTGAGAGGAGGGCAAGCGATGGGGAGTAAAGCCGAGTGGTCTCTAAGAGAAAATACCAGAAGCACATGTCACAGAGAGAGGAGCCAAAGAGAGCAAGTCTGAGGAACATCCCTACCTATTCTACTGTGCAAGAGATCACTAGGATGGTTATGGAAAGAAATCTCAAGCAATCTATCTCAGGAGAAGGGCAAGAGGAGAAGGGGGTGACAGAGAGTCAGATGGCTGGATGGCATCATCGACTCAACGGCCAAGAGTTTGAGCAAATTCCAGGAGACAGTGAAGGACAGGGAAGCCTGGCGCGCTGCAGTCCATGGGGTCGCAAAGGGTCGGACACAACTGAGCAACAACAACAGGAGTAATTAATGATAGTATTTTTGAGACAAAAAAAATCAGTGAAAGCATTTTTCTGCATGTAGATTAAGGAATTCCACATGATAAGGAATGCATATATGTACAAATGATTCTGAAGTTTCAACACATCAATGTAATCATCTATTTGGTCTGAATTTAACTAGGTAATTTTCTGAACTCAATAAAACCAACACAAGTTAATAGAAAAAAAAAATTAGAGAGATGACCAAGTTGGAAAATGATTGATAATGCTAAAGCAGGAAGATTGCAGAGAAGGGTCATGACCCACATACACCTTCTAACCAGTCCCTTTGCATATTCAGCAGGAAAGAATGACTGGGACTCTGAATCATGGAAGAAGAGAGGCATAGGCAACCACATAGCGCCTGAATTCAGGACATGGTTCGTTTTGTCAAAATAGAAGCCCTGACAAATAATGCATGCTCCCATCATGCAGCCATCTACCACGAGCACGTCAGATTCTGCCCCTCCCTCACTCCTTCCCCAGCAACGTTTGTATTTCTGAAGGCATTTTAGGAACAAACGCACAATTCCCGTGACTCTGTAGAAGGACTAGCATGTACATTTCACCACGATGGTATAGACCAAATGGTCCTGGTAACAAATCCACAGGGACGGTGCTTTTGTGACTCAGAGCAGATTCTGGGATGATATATTTGGGCGAGGTAAAGATATATTATTTAGTCATATTAGGATTATGAGATGCTGCTCCTAAACAAAGCAAATTATTTAGCAAGCAAACAAGTTTTCACATATTTGCAGGAATAACTCAGAATTCCCCTGTTAATCAAGGTGACTGTTGCAGTGTATGCCCCCAAGTGACCCTCAGGCTCTGGAAAACCACCTCTGACCTGGGTTGCACATGTGACAGCAATCTTTCAGTGACGGGGAGCTTCTCCAGGGAAAGGAAACTGCTGTTCTGCTTCTAATCCATCTCCCAATCATGGTCTTAAGAGATTATCCAGGGAATGACCTAATTTCAGTAGGAGGTGGAGCCCTGGCTACTCTCCCAATCAGGTATTAACAAAGCTTAACCACCTCCTGCCAGTTAGAGCTGCTGGCCTTCTTGGTTCTAAGTGTTCTTCAAATGATTCTAAGCTTTCCATGACCTTTCAATGAATTAGGACAATGTGTACCTCATCACGGTCCTGCTTGTGATATGTACTAGAATAGCCATCACTAATGGAAAGCGGAGCTGTGCTAGGCACTTTATACCCACTATTTCTACTGTTACTCCCTCACTCTTCACCCAGTTACCGTGGATCATTTCTTCCAAAAATGGCCCCATTGGGCATTCCCACTCAACCCATAAATGTGAAGATACATTGGTTTCCAGAAGGGAAAAGAACAGTAAAGACAGGAAATGTTTCTATCACCCATTCCTGAGGTTTTGTTCTGGATCCAAATGTATTCATAAGATTAAAAAAAATGATCCCAATAAAACAATAGCTACCTTGCAACTCTTCACATAGAGATCTGGACCTTCACCCTTATGTGATTTCAGAACACCTAACTGGTAAGCAGTATCCACACTTTGCAGGAATGGAAAATACATTACACTGAGAAAATGATTTTTTTACATTTGGTCTTTACCTTAAAATGATTTAAACCTGAATCTGCTATTTCACTCTCACATTCAGGGGAGAAAGGGTAAAGGATAAAGAATTTCCCAGTGATTCTTGAACACTGAGAAATAACTGAATATGAGAGCATACACATAATTTACAAATTAAACAGAAGTTTCTTTTCATGGTGTATTTTTTTTTAAAGAGACAAAGAACTGGACTTACCCTCGCTGGAGTCTTTGGAGCCTTCTGGCTTCTTTGCTTGGCTCTTCTTGTGGGGTGGAGAGTGGTCTTTTGGCTCTAACCCCTCTGGAAGCACACAGATTTAGTACATTTTTATTTAAATATCTCCCACTAGGGGTTCAAAATCATCATGATGTTTAAAAATACATTTTTCTTACTAAATCCACCCATACAGTGAAGCTTGATTGCAGGTTCACCTGACATTATGGCTGAGCTAAATTTTGGCAAAAACCTGGGCTTCTCCAATGAATGTGAACTTAATGACTTAGAGCTTAGGCATAAACATTTTTGTTGTTGTTGCCATCATTAATGATGCACACGAATATGATACCATGAGGGCACTTTTTTTAAATTAAAAAAATTCTCTATTAGGCAACTCCAAATTATTATGATTATTCTCTAGGAGAGTTTGATTTAAAACTTCATGGATTAACTGACAGTTGTCATTCTGCAATTTCATTTTAGCCCTCAAAGTATGTCTAGATGAGTTGTAAAGTCATCTTATTTGGGGGGAATGGGATGGGGCATGAAATTATCCTCCTTCTATTTAACAGATTTCTTCAGCAATCCAGATTCTAAACAATTTCCATATGCCCCTGATTAAATTCCTGTGCTTCCTGCTTTTCTCAGTGCTCTAAGCCAAGCCAAGAGCAATGCACTAGCCAAGGAGGCTAGTGACAAATTCTAAAGACAATTTTAGGAAAACTCTTTCAAATCCATCCCATTTGGATACGGGATACTTTGTTAAACATATCTGCAGCTCTGGCCTCTTTATTTCTCAAAGCTTATGTCTTCAATTGTTCACATGCATCTTATTTTGGATTTCTTCCATTGGCCCCTCCAGATCCGCTTTTCACCCTTCCTCCTGCCCGCACTGCACTGGGATTTGGGACACTGGTCTCTATGGACGACACCGACGAAGTCCCCATCTCTCTGGCTTCCTATTATACGCAGCCAATGGGGAGCCCAGGGCATTTGTTTCCTAGGCTGCTGGTAGTCTTCAAGGACTAACTATCTTCCTAAATCTAAGGTCACAGTTCCTATCAACTGACCTTCTCCTCATGGCTCTCTTTGTCTTTGAGGTACTGAAACGACCACCACCCTGTTGTCTTTTCAGGGCTGGGAAGTACCTATATTCCATTCTTCCTAACCCGAGTGACTCCCCTTTACTCAGCTCCCTTAAATAAACAATCCCATGAGGCATTCCAAGCAACACAGCTGGAACAATACACTTGATGTCTGCAAATCTGTTCTCTCCACAGTGTTTCACATCTCAAGGGAGAGTGTGACTTATCTACCCAGGAATTTAAACCTCAAACTGAGATATTACCTTAATATTTTTCTTTAATCACTTCTGCAGTAAAGGAATTCCATCATAATAAGTCCTATGACCTCTGCTCCAAAATATATCCTATATTCATCTACTGTGCTCATTCTTTGCAACCACCACCCTAGCCCAAACCAGCAGCATCTTTTACCTGGGTTACTATGACAGCCTTCTGAATTCTAACTCCTAGCTTTCTCATCTTCCTATAATCTATTCTGCACATAGCAGCCAGATCTATCTTTATTTTTCCCTTTTTTAAAAAAAATATTTTTTTAATTGAAGGATAACTGCTTTACAGAATTTTGTTGTTTTCTGTCAAACCTCAACACGAATCAGCCATAGGTATACATATATCCCCTCCCTTTTGAACCTGCCTCCCATCTCACCAGATCACCCTGTTTGCTTATTTAAAAACCACTGTTCTTAGAATCAGATCTGAATCCAGTCTCATGGGCCAGGAGAACAAGTCACTTGGGTTCCACCTACCACACTAGCCCTGTCTCCCACTCGTCTTTATTAGCTCGACTTATTTCCGCCCTTCTATCATTTCTAGGCTGGTTCTTGCCTCAGGACCTTTACACCTGCTGTTCTTCCGTTTTCCTGACACACACATTCATGTGCCCACCCCATTCCCATCTTTTAACATAGAATCACATTCAACTCCTAAGGAAGGCTTTTCCTGACTACTTAATCTGAAGGGTTGCAAGGAAGATCTGTCACAGACATATCACTTGGTATAACTGAAATTATCTTGCTCCCTTGTTTATTTCTTTATTATATGTCTCCCTCCTTAACCACCCTCCACCTTGAGACTGTAGGTTCCATGAGAAAGGGCGTTTGTCTTTTGTAATCCTCTCCTGTGTCACTGGTGTCCAGCAGTGCCTTGAGAATTTCAAATTCTTTTTTATATCCCTGATACCCAGGCCTTTCTTTGAGACCAAGACATAATGGGGTTTGTGCCTAATTCTCACTCTCTTAGCAACTCTTACCTACGCCAGGACTCTGTAACTATACAATAGAGTTACTGTGACTCATTTTTCTTTTCCCATTTATTATAAAAAGAACAGAACAGAAAAATGCATTTGATAGATGTGCTATTAAAAACGTTGGCATTATAGACTACAAAGGGGTTTGGGCACCAGGTTAGGCTTTCTGTGGTTGCAAGGCAGTCACATCCAAGGTCATTACCTCGACCAGGGTGAAAAATGTTGCCAATGACTACATTAGCAACTCCCTCAAATTTCTGTCACCAGGTGTGGATGGATATTGACCTTTCAGAATGGGTTCAGCAAAAACAGAAATGAGATGCTTGAAACAGCTCACTGAGCACAGATGCTGGGTTCAAAAGCATTCATAAAATGAGCAGAGTACCACTTGCAATATCCCTGGGAGAAGCCTCTCACCCCTCCTGTGCTGAAATGCATTGTTTGCAACTGGGACCACGAGGAGAGTTTCCAGTGCTGGGAGTTCAGCTCCAAACCAGCATTTCCAGAAAGTGAGCTGAGAATTAAATTGTGAATTCATGACTACCCACCTAAATGGGAGTTCTTGGGGAATGGGTGAGATTTAAAAAGACATCTCTGAGTCCACATTTTGAGCTATTTATAAACTGTAAAAGTACTAGTGCTTCCTTTTTGAAGAAGCTGTAGGGTACTCTGGGGTGATCAGTGGGCATAGATGCATGTTAGTTATGAGCAGCCATCTATGACAGTGGTCCTCACTTTTCTGGGGATCAGGAACTGGTTCCATGGAAGACAATTTCTCCACAGGCTTGGGGGGTGTATGGTTCAGGCATAATGTGTGCAATGGGGAGCAGAGAGGAAGCTTGTCTCCTTCACCAGCTACTTACCTTCTGCCGTGAGGCTCAGTTCTGAACAGGGCACAGACTGGTACTGGTCCATGGCCCGGGGCGTGGGGACCTCTAGTCTATGACATAGTACTTCATAACACCCATGGAGACACTCAACTGAAAATCACTGCTACATATGGCCTCCGTGCTCTCGTTTTCCCTCTCCCTCTTAGCCTGGGAAAGCTAGAGGAACCTCCCCCAGGAGCACCCCTCGCGTCTCCCTAACACCGGAGCAGGCTGCCTCTGTCGCCTGTTTCCAGCAGAGGCTGGAACTCTGGGGTGTTGCCATAAGCATGGCTTTGTCCCTGAGGAGCGCGACTGGGCTCTGGCTCTTGGGTGGCCGACCTGCTAGAGGTGGCTGCTGACTTTCTGTCCCTGGGGCTCAGGTTGGGGTCCATTTCAAGAGTGCATGGTCTTGGAAATGGAAGGACATGGGGAAATATTTACTATGCTAGGATTAAATGACTTAAACAGGATCCTAGGCATTTAAGTCAGTCTATTTCTACCACCTCGAAAAGGGGCAGAGCCTCTGTTAGGATGACTATCTGACACCATGTGATATTATTCCCCCTAAGCACTGGATAGTAACAGTGCCCATCTCTTTGAGCTGTTGCATATCCTAAGTGAGTTCATGTATGTTGAGCAATCAGCACAAGGAACAGCTCAATTAAATTCCTGCTCAGCAAAGGGATGCTAGGACTGGTCTGAGCTGAGCCAGCCTGCACTAGCTGGTTGGACTTCTCTTTCCTTCATCCCTACATTCATTGGCTAATGTTTGGCACCTTGAACAATATCATTTATACCAAAGAAATCTGCAAGCTCTCAAAATTGGGGCTCCCCTCCCCCCCTAGAGAGTACATTTCCCAGCACCTCACTGGTTTTTGATATTCATATTATTGTTTACTATCATTTACTAGCATTTGTTGACTGGCTGATTCACACAAACAGGCCTTCACTAGTGTCAACTGCATTCTTAAAAATCCTTCCAGCACTACTTTGTGTATGAGAAGAGGTTCAGGGATCAGGGAAGGCTAGCTGTTAACGGTCTTAGGAGGCTCGATCAGACTCTTCTCAGACACCAGCACCCCGGAGCATGAGGCTGAACAGAAGCAAGCCTGCTCACCAATATTTGGCAAGGCTAGCTGGCCCTTCATGAGCCTATCTTGCAGAAAGACCCCATGATTTCAGCACTCAGATATGAGTAACAAACAGCAGCTTCCCAAGCCCATTCTGCTGGAGTGACTAAGTATCCTTGGGCCACTGAGTGTGACATGAATGGCAGCATCCAGCTGCTAGAGATAAATCTCAGGAGATTTGGTGGGACTAATATCAGAAACGATGATCCACTTAAGGCCCCTAAACCCCTAATGCTGACTCCAACCTTGTGGGTTCTGCATTAGCGTTAATGATTTCCTTGAACTCATTCTGTGGTTCAGATAGCTACTTGCACCTTATTAAGAAGTCAGCCCCCTTTGCCTAGAAATGCGTACTTATATCACTTTGGGCAAATGATCCTTAGCAAGGTAAGGGCCTTAAACTATCTGGCTGAAAGGGCAGTGCTCCCCATGGATGAAGGATAGTCCAAGGACATCCAAGGATATTCCATGTGAAGTGCAAGCATTAATGCTAAATTCATGGAATTTAAGACAGGGTGAACAGCATGAAAAGGCATAAAGATAGGACACTGAAAGAGGAACTCCTCAGGTCAGTAGGTGCTCAATATGCTACTGGAGATCAGTGCGGAAATAACTCCAGAAAGAATGAAGAGACAGAACCAAAGCAAAAATAACACCCAGGTGTTGATGTGACTGGTGATGGAAGTAAAGTCCGATGCTGTAAAGAGCAATATTGCATAGGAACCTGGAATGTTATGTCCATGAATAAAGGCAA